TATCCCGGCCTGAAGCCCGACTGGAGCGGGTCCAGATAGACTGTTTCCTCCAGGTGTCGAGGGAACTGCTGCGCAACCACACTCTCAACAACCTTCGCCACAAAGCGAAGGTTGGAGACCGGGTGATAGTTAGCCAATACATCTGGGTCCAGGGAGGGCTTCTTAAGGAGGGGCCTCACCACCGCCTCCTTTAAGGCCGCGGGGAAGGCACCCTCCCATAAAGAAGCGTTTACAATTCCCTGGAGCCAGGCTCGTGTACCCTCCCGAGCCGCCAGTACTAGCCAGGAGGGGAACGGATCCAGTAAACATGTGGTTGCATTCAGCCTCCCCAAGATCCTGTCCACGTCCTCGGGAGCCACAGAGTCAAACTCCTCCCATACAACAGTCTCAAGACCTGCTCCCGTTTCCTCCCCCGGGGCCACCCAGTCAGAGTCAAGGCCTTCTCGGATCCGAGCGACTTTGTCATACAGATATTGCGCAAAGTCCTCGGCCCTCCCCTCCAGGGGATCCCCCCTCCCTCAATTGAAGGAGAGAGCGGGTCACCCTGAAGAGGGAGGCCGGGCGGTTATCTGATGACGCAATGAGGGTGGAGTAGTAATTAGACCTCGCCACCCTCATCGCCACAAGGTAGGATCTAACATGTATCCTTACCTGTGCTCGGTCGGATTCGGTTCGGCTAGCCCTCCAACTGCTCTCTAGGTTAAAGTTTTATGTATTACTGGGTGCAAAGATAAATTGCTTTGTGATGAAACAAAAGCCATGTAGGCAACACACCCTATTTGTTTGTTCCTCCAAAACTAACTGATCTTATTATATTCTACTTATCATCAACCTTGCCCCCCCCCCCAAAAAATTGAAATCACACAACATATTAAGATTTGTTTTTCTCTTCAGACACACGGCAGGTTTTAAAGCCGTAAAGCCATTGTTTGTATCACCTGCAGGGACCAATCCCAGTGAAATCCAGGTAATTTCACCAGGCAAACAAAGAAAGAAACCTTTGGCTGGAAAAGAAATGCCTTCAGTTAAAAGAGAGAGAGAGAAGCTTGTTCAGTGGCTGCTTGGAAACTTCCACTGTTCTGAAGGGTTTTTTCTCCATCTAGTGGAAGAATGGAAATCTTCAGCTTGAAAGGATTAGCTGTAATCATTGCACCTAATTAAAATGGCCATGAAACACACCCTCCGTCTTTAATTGGATGCCCATCATTCAGTCTGGTTTGGAAGCATCACTGCTTCAGACGGGAAGGCGGTGCAGAGAGTGGTGAGGATGGCTGAAAAGATCATTGGCATGATCCCTCCCATCCAGGACATAGCACAGAAGCGCTGCTTGAGCAGGGTCCGTAAGATCATCTGGGACACTACACATCCTCTTCACGACCTGTTTTCCTTGTTACCTTCTGGGAGGAGGCTTCGTGGTATCCGTAGCAGAACATCCAGATTCAGCCATAGTTTCATTCCATACAGCATTAACTTTGCGAACTCTCAAGCTTCCTCCTTCCGTTATATATTCAAGATGGACAGTATTTAATATTTATTTGTTATGTATATGTAGGGGTGTGGGTCTATACATACGTTGTATATAGTATGTTTAGGTGTGTGTCAGGTATGTGTTTCACTTTGAGAGCGGGCAACTAAATTTCATTTGTGATGTGTGCCGTTGTGCCCACAGTAAAAAAATGACAATAAAGGTTATCTTATCTTATCTTATCTAAATTCATGCACAGGGCCCAAGTTGGGGACAAAGATCTGCAATTCTCCCAAAGGCTTAGGACCAAAAGACAAGTGTAGATTCGTCCCTGAGCTGAGTAAAATTATCCTCCAAGGTGACAGAAACTTGAGAGAAAATTATAGGTGGTCCTTGACTTACAACATTCGTTTAACGAGTGTTCAAAGTTACAGCGGCACTGAAAAAAAGTGATTTATGATCATTTTTCACACAGCATCCTCATGATCACAGCATCAACATTCAGATTCTTGGCAACTGACTCATATTGATGACGCCTGCAGTGTCCCAGGGTCAGGTGATCCCCTTTTGCAACCTTGTGACAAGAAAAGTCAATGGGGAAGCCAGGTTCACTGCACAACTGTGTTACTAACTGCAGTGATTCATTTAACAACTGTGGCAAGGAAAGTCGTAAAATGGGGCAAAATTCACTTAACAACTGTATTGCTTAGGAACAGAAATTTTGGACTCAGTTGTCATCATAAGTTGAAGACTACCTATAGTGATCCAGGACAGGGTTTTCGAAGTCAGGTGTTGTGTGCCTAATAACAACAACAACAACAACAACAACAACAACAACAACAACAATAATAATAATAATAAAGTTGGAAGGGACCTTGGAGGTCATCTAGTCCAACCCCTGCTCAGGCAGGAAACCCTATAACAGTGGTGGCGAACCTATGGCACGGGTGCCAGAGGCAGCACTCAGAGCCCTCTCTGTGGGCACGTGCGGCGGTGCCCCAGTCCTAGGCCTTCAGCTGGGTTATATAAAACCTTATCGCTTTAGGCCTCCGCCGCCATGTACAAAATAAAAAGGTTCAATCAATCAGTCAATTTCAACTTCTCGCGGGAAAAAAAAAGATCTTGCAAAGTTGGAATTGATTGATTGAACTTTTTAGTCCCACCCAGTCTGCTGTTACCACCGCAGCTATGCCCACTCAATGGGCCACACCCACCCAATGGGCCACACCCACCCGGCACCCGACGATGCATAAATGGGTTTTGGGTTCCAGTTTGGGCACTCGGTCTCTAAAAGGTTCGCCATCACTGCCCTATACCATTTCGGACAATTGGCTGTCCAGTCTCTTCTTAAAAACTTCCAGTGTTGGAGCATTCACCGTTTCTGGAGGCAGGTTGTTCCACTGGTTAATTGTTCTAACTTTCAGGAATCTGTGTCATTAAAAAGAAATATGCTGAGGAAAAGTGTGACAATGTTAAGAAGTGTCAATGAAAAGTGTATTGTGATTTGTATTCCTTCTTTTAAGAATAAGCTTTCTGTCTTTTGTCACCAGTTTCACTGCCAATATCCAGCTCAAGAATCTGAATAAAACTCCAGGTTCATTTCATTTCCAAAAAGCTTACTACTTGTTGAATACACATCTTGGTTATGTCGAAGAAAAACTAACTTCGAGGTTCCAACACCAACTCATAGACTTAAACAATAGTTTTCCCAGCCAAACCCCCCCAAAATCTTACGTAATCCATATCAACAAGTCCACTTTGTATGGGAACCGTCTACTTCAAATCCACACCTGTTCTGGTGTCCTTGACAAGGCTTCAAGCTCTCATGGTCTGCAGCTGAATTGAAGAAGTTTCGTTTTTCCATCTACCCACTTGAAAGTAACACCTCCCCCCCTTAATCTAAAGGCAAGTTGAAACACAGAGGCACGTAGCTGCCAAAGTTTCATCCTTGACACTCACTTCTATCTCAGAACAAAGTGTCTATGGAGAAGCTCTGTTATCCATGTCATGGTTGTCTCAAAGGTGCTTTTTCAAAAGGCAACTGGATTTTCTTGGTTTTTTTCTTTGAAAACATTCTCATCGATTCTGGCAGGATGGTGGGGAGGGATGAAAGGATCCTATTTCTTTGCAGTCATCTGGTCATTAGCACTCTCTGAGAGCCATTGAGGCCACTTGGGGGTTTACCTGTGTGAAGAGAATCAACACCCTGACTTCCTCTTTTGCTTCTATTTCACAGTTCAATTTCACCGTTTAGCATTGAGAGCACAAGACGCCAGAGACGGTCTGAATCGCCGGACTCCCGGAAGCGCCGCATCCACAGGTGTGATTTTGAAGGATGCAATAAGGTTTACACGAAAAGCTCCCACTTGAAGGCTCACCGGAGGACCCACACAGGTGAGCACGGGTGAAAATTTCCAGCTATGGATTCAGTGGTGATTGCAATTTGAAGAGCTGGACATAATTCCATACAGTACAGTTCTCTTGATAATTCCCACCTGCCATGTAATCCTAGAAACCAAGGCTTTCCCCATAATAGGAAACAGTTCTTCGGTTCCAGTATTTTTCTGTAAAGGTGGGGAAACAGGGTGTGTATTGTCAACTAAGATGAAGGGCCATGACTCCAATCCAGTCAAGAATCTGGATGGATTTCTTGTGATTTTCTTGCTCTAGAGGGTTCCTCGTGGTTATCTCTACGGTGGTGACATTCCAGTTGGACATTAGTTCAGTTCAGGAGAAAAAAATTGTGATGGCTGTCCACTCTGTATCCACTCCTCCAGGCACTAGCAAGGACACCCACCCCACCATTAAAAACATTTTCTTTCTTTCTTTCTTTCTTTCTTTCTTTCTTTCTTTCTTTCTTTCTTTCTTTCTTTCTTTCTATCATTATCTGTCGTATTTATATCTATCTATCGTTATCTGTCTATATTTTTTCTATCTATCTATCTATCTATCTATCTATATCATTACATGTTTATATTTATATCTATCTATATATCTATCTATCTATATCTATCTCTATCTATCTATCTATCTATCTATCTATCTATCTATCTATCTATCTATCTATCTATCTATCTATTAATTTATCAAATGTATGCAGCCATCTAATCCAGCAGAAATGACTTTGGGCAATATTCAAAAACCTCTGTCTATTTGGATAGATTTGCATTCTCCAGATAGGATGCTTTTTGAGAGGAGAGGGAAAACCTCATGGCTGTAACTTGTTAAAAGCATTGTTAAAACATAAGCTGGCTACCTGCATTACGTCAAGGGAGGGTCATTCATTCACATGGTTGTCTGATCTCAGGTGTGCTCACATTAGGGTACTGCTATAGAGCCATCAGAAGGGGGCCAGTTCCTTTCAGTGCATCTGCATCGTTAGCATCACAGTTACGTGAAAGAGGCTAGGAAGCACAAATGAAGCATGCCTGAGGCTGCTACCTGTGTCCTTCACCAACAGTGCTCCTCCTCATAACCAAAGCTCTGAGACTTTCCTTCCATCTGGTGGGTTTTAGGCATTCTTGTGGGCTGCTGAAGAGGAGTGTTTCAATCTGGATGGGATTCTGGGTGATCTCTTCATCTCTGTCTACATCAGGACCTGAGCTGAACCTGAGCTGTCAGAAAACACTTGCATAGAAGGGTGTCATAGATGGCAAGCAGTCTAGTTCATCTGCTCTTTATGGGTCGCCTTGATAAGTTCCAGGAACCCCAAGGTGTCCTGGCACAGAGACTGAACATTGCATTCCCAGGTCTTTTTCAGACAAGATCTGGGCTGGAAACTTTGTGCCAGGAAACAATGGCAAGCTCCAGGCCTTCAATGTGTGAGAAAGCTGTTTGCTTCTTTCCTTGTGGTTTGCCCCACTCCCTTTTGCAAAACCAGTAAAGTTATGAACTTCCCATGGCTGCGTGACAGAGAAGTATCAACATGAAACAACCCATCTCTGAGCCCCTGGGTTCTAACAGCTTTACATTACCCTGCAGGAACAAAGGACTTCCATAAGTTTCAGGTGTGTGGATCCATTGGCCTTCCCTTGGAGACTGTCTCCTGAGCAGTCCTAACCATTGCAGTTCCTCCTATGCTCAGGAGAGCTTCATTGGATGTTACAGGTGTTGGACTCCCAACTTCCAGTCTTATAGCACAGTTTTAATGGAAGGCCCTCATGAAAACATCACGGGATGCATAAGAATATTTTAATCAACTGCATTTGAAAGTTTGCTTCACAATCAGCAGTCTTTTACAACCCATTAAGTTAAAAAAAATTAGTATTTCTGTGCTTGAGGGTCAGGGTGTTCAAACTTGGAAGAAGCCTTCAGAGAGCTGCCTCTTTTATTTAGGCCTCGTAAAACAAAATTGTGTTGGCAGGCAGGAACTTGTTAAGGTAGGGAGTGGGAGAAAATATTAACAAAGCCTAAATAAGGATCCCAGGTTAAGTATAATGCATGTAGTCAAACTTGATAATAATCTAGTAAATGAGCCAGTGAGCAGACTTGTTCTTACTGAAGTATAGTCTAACTTGCTTAGACCCTAACAACTCTATTTTTCCAGGGCAAAATGTTAATGAGGTCCTAATGAGCTGAAAGGTCATATACAGTATGTACAAATGCTCCATAGGTCAAATGATTAAAAGGACATGTATTCTGTAGACCATTTGGGATGTTCAAAATATCTCCCATATAAATCGTATGGATTCAGGTTTACGAAAACTACTGTTGTCTATATTTTTCTTTCCAGAGTGGAATGAGACAATTATTATTATTTTATTATGATCCAGAGTAATTGGGGTATGTTATAGACCAGGGATAAATTAATTAGGACAGCTCTGCACATAAGGAGAAATAGGAGGAAACAGATCACAGAAGTTTCTGTTACTTCACTATAGTCTTGTATTCAGTCTGGGATTGTAGGTTAGCTGTTGCTGCAAGTTACATAACAAAAGAGTATGTTTAGTATATTTCAAAACAATCTGCACCTGAGTATATTCGTAATACAAGGGCAATTCGGAAATAAACCTCCGTTTATGACAGACACTCGCAGATACAGAACTTTTATTAGACACATTAGAAAACTAAAACATTACATTACTCTTTGACATAATCGCCATTCAAACTGAGGCACTTGTCATAACATCTTACAAGGTTTGAAATTCCTTAGTAGTAGTCGCTCAGTGCCAAATCTGGGCTATGGGTGGTGATCAAAAACATCCCAACGGAACTGCTTCAAAAGTTCTTGGGTGCGTCTAGCGGTGTGCGGGCGAGCATTATCATGAACCATCATCAGACCAGAAGTCAGCATGCTCTGATGCTTGTTATGGATGGCTCATCTGAGTTTTGTAAGGTTTCACAGTAGACTTCTGAATTGATGGTCAAACCATGCTCCATAAACTTTACTAGCCATACTCCTTTGGCATCTTCACACTTGGCGGGATTTTCTATGGCACCACTTTTGGTGTGGTGTTCGTTCACAATAATACTCTCCCTCACACTGCTAGACACACCTTGTAAGACGTTATGACAAGTCCCCCATATCAGAGGACCTCCCCTGAAATGGTCCAGAGAAGCACCAGTTGCTTCTCCCTGGAACTACACAGCAGCTATTTCTATGGATGCATTGTCCGATGGATGAGGAACTTGATGTCTAACTCTCAAACCTCTGAAAAAAACTGATTAGAAAGCTGTCTTCCTTCACATGCAGAAAATGTGTAAGGTTCAATTCCTCATCTCCAACTAGAAGGATCAGAGAGAACTCCTGGCAGTGAGAATAATTAATCAGTGGAACGGCTTGCTTCCAGAAGTTGTGGGTGCTTCATCATGGGAGGTTTTTAAGAAGAGATTGGACAGCTATTTATCTGAAATGGTCTAGGGCAGACATGTCAAACTCGCGAGGTCACGTGACGTTGTGTGACATATCAGAGCTCTTTCCCTGTTGCCGGCAATGGGGTGTGCGTGGTTTCCTCATGATGTGTCCGGCCCACGGGCCGACAATTTGACACCCCTGGTCTAGGGTCACCTGCTTAAGCAGGGTGCTGGTCTAGAAGACCTGTAAGATCCCTTCTAGCTCTGTTATTCTGTTGTTCTGTTGGTATGAGTGACATCCTTAGCTAAGGGAAGATTACTTGGACTGTTATGTAGACATGTAGACATATAGTTTCCTTGTCAAGAGACCAGATAGTTGGTTCCCATTCAAGTGCTAACCAGTTAGGATCCTCCTGCTCTCTTTTAAGATCAATCCAGGTTGATGGGTGGCTGTCTATGATAGGGGTTGTCTATGATTAAACCCTAGTGACATGAATAACATGATATTGCTATACCAGAAAATGGCTAGGGTTAACAGAGACAGTTAAGAAGGAATGATCTGCTTCCCCCAAGTTAATATGGATTCACAAAACTTATAATTCTGCTGCCATTCGGATGTAGTTTTAGAAGACTAGCATTGCTATCTTCTCCAATGAGATGGTTAGGGCTGAGTAATGCCTGCTTTTGTAATTTTCACTTAATCCACCAGGGGGTGCACGGTAATAATAAACAACTTCTAAACAAGTGTGACATCTCTCCCTCCAGAAGTGAGGATTAATTGTGAGTCACAAAAATCCTGCCTGCTGTTTTCTCATTTGTGTATTCTTTCATCAAGTGTAAGGTCAATTATGGAAGAGATGCAAATTAAATAAAAAAAATGTGTGATCGTGTTTCGAAAGGAGAAACTATTACAAATAGTTACACTTCACCTTTTGTCAATGCGATGTTAGTTTCTACCGATTAGTAAAAGTGACTACCCTAATAGTAATTTGGGAAGTTTAGGCAAAAGGCTTCCCAAAGACTCATGCACAAAAAGTGTCTCTACTGATCCTTCCTGTCTTGTGGGAAGAGCTCCTTGCCGTTCACTGAGCACAGGGGGTCCTTGACTTACAACAGCTCACTGAGTACGAACGACTGCAAATATACGTGTCCCAGGATAACGTGGCAGGATCCAATCCAGCCCAGTCACCGGAACCAGAGGTTTTTTACAACGGCACTGAAAAAAGTGACATATGACCATTTTTCATACTTACCACCTTTGTAGCATCCCCATGGTCACGTGATCAAAATTCAGATGGTTCATGCTTATGACCATCACAGATGGTTCATGCTTATGACTGTCACAGTGTCCCAGGGTCATGTGATCACATTTTTCAAATTTTTGATGAGCAAAGTCACTTAACAACCATGTTGCTAACTTATCAACTGCAGTGATTCACTTAACAACTCTGGCAAAAAATGTCGTAAAATGGGGCGCAAAAACTCACTTAACAAATGTCTCACTTAAAAACAGAAATGTTGGGCTGGGTTGTGCTCGTAAGTCGAGAACCGACGACCACAGCTAAGATTTCATTTATGCTGGAAGTGGCTGCTGGATTGAT